GAAGCAACTGCCATGTGATTGGTTGATTATATAATTGCATTAATGAGAAATTGAACAGGTGTTCCTAACAGTCCTTTAGGTGAGTGTATATATATTCATTAAACAAATCAATTTTCATTTAGAATGGAAAATCCAAGATGGGTCATTCCATTTTAATTAATCAAAAAGTTTTTGCATTACCGTAAACAGAAACATTTCTGAGCTCTGTAAGATATGTTTAACTCATATGCCAAATGTAATCAAAAATGGTGAGGCCATCTCTTGAATTAAAATGGAATGCTCCAGTTAAAGTAGCCTGTATTTAATACAATTATTTAATAATTGTTTAATCATTTAATAAATGTCACCATAAAAAATGTCACTTTGGTTAGTGTTTTATTGTCTGCTTAGCAGACAATAATTTAATTTTGTTTGTATCAATGTAGACCAACATGTAAAATGGCCCCTGGAGGATGGGCTCCCCCTTTGAGTCTGGTTCCTCCCAAGGTTTCTTCCTTCTAGGGAGTTTTTCCTTGCCACTGTCACCTATGGCTTACTCACTGAGGGCTTTGGGTGGGGATGCTGTAAAGCGCTTTGGGACAATGTAATGTTGTGATAATGCGCTATACAAAAATAAATTTGTTGTTGTTGTTGTAAATTATTAATAATGGATACAGATGTTTAATCTAATTCTTAAATCTGTTTTACATTCAGGGGGTACCCCAGTCGTGTGCCCTGTACTTCACTGAATTTGGGCAAAAAATAACTTTTACTCAAAGCTTAATATCCAGATAGCAAAACAGCAAGTGGAATAGAGACCATCCTTAATATGCTGAAAAGAGAATATATTCATAGTCATTACATTCAAACTATTACTTGAATATACAAAAAACAATTGGACATGTCTGTTAGTGTAAAGGATCAGGGCGGATTTGGGGTGATGGCGAGGCATGGTGTAGGTAGACAACCCACTGGCGACTCACAGGACACGGGTTTACTAAACAAAAACAAAACACTGGAAAACACTACAAAACAAAATCAGACCCCAAGGGGTCAAAGTAAAACAAAGACTAATACAAATGGGTCAGGGCAATAAGGGGCGGGCGGGCAACAAATAACACAACAGATATACATCAATGGCATACAGACCGTCAACAACATACAAACAATGAACCACTGGGGAACTGAGGTCAGGCAGGAACTTGAACACGAAAACTGAACTGGGTAACAAAACAGACATAGACAAATTAACCAATCAGGGAGGGTGCAGGACAACGTGCAATCAGGAAAACACACAAGGGCAGGCACAAGAACAGGCAACAGGTGGAACTAATTAACTCAGGGACTAGAAGGGGAAAATTAATGCCTTGTCCACACGTACACAGATATTTTTTAAAACTGTGTTTTTCCTGCTCCGTTTAAAAAAAAAATCCCCGCCCATACGAACATTGTCTTCTAAAAAATTTCCGTCCAAGAAACCGCTAAAATGTGCTGTCAAAAGCATGCCAAAACAACAGGTGGCATTATAACTCTAACCGTACTGCCATGTTAGCCAATCAGAAACCTAATTGCCAGTCCTGTTAAGTTGAAAACCATGACGCACATTCCGACGCCTGTGTTGATCAATATAATGCGAGAGTCACTCAACATTTATCTGTACACATGTAAGAAGTCCTGTCAGCAAGGTTGGCACAAGCACTATTTCAGCTCACGCTCTGACGTTAAACAAAGTGGACAATGGCACACAATCTGACGTTTCGAGCCAAAAACTCTGTTTTCCCTGTGTACATGTTGACGCTGAAAACGGAGTTTCTTAAAATCTTCACCCTGGATGGAGTTTTGCAAAAGCTCCGTTTTCAGTCACCTGAGACACTGTTTACGTGGGGACAAAAGCCCAAGACGTATAGAAAAAGGTATGTTTTAAAATATACCCGTATACGTGTGGACAAGGCATAAGACACTGACAGAAACAATGAAACAGAATCTACACTAGGGGAATAACAGACAGGTAAAAATACAAGCACAGGCATAAAGCATGAAATCAAAACCAAATACAAATCACAATACACAGGAACTAGAAAACTCATACATATGAAACACTAGGGAACAAAATACAAAAACAGATTAAAAAGTATTCAAACACACAACAGATGGGTTAACAGGTAGCGGCACGCTGAGCTCATTGAGCCATGCGGTCAATGGGGAGCAGGGGAAACACTATACAGACTAGGACAACGGGGAAGACACAACACTGGGACAAAACAGGTACTGACCCTGACAGTTAGATGTTATATTGCACAGTTTGCCTAAACAGTTGGTCTATAACAGGGGTGCCCAACTGCAGTCCTGGAGCCCTGTGTAGCTTAGTTCTTTCCCTGTTCCACCATAAATGATTCAGCTCAAGAGCTGTGTGGTAATTAGCACAAGGAGTTGAATCAGTCGTGTTAAATGAGGGGAAACCCAAAAATGTGCAGGGCTCTGGCCCTACAGGACTGGAGTTGGGCACCCCTGGTGTATAAGAACATAAGAAATTTACAAACGAGAGGAGGCCATTCGGCCCATCAAGCTCGGTTGGGGAGAACTTAACTAATAGCTCAGAGTTGTTAAAATCTTATCTAGCTCTGATTTGAAGGAACCCAGGGTTTTAGGTTGCGCTACTAAATATTCAATATGAATTTATTCAAAACTGTTGTCAGAAATGTATTCTTTTAGAAAGTTTAACTTCTATTCTCTGTTTAAACAGACTGTTGCACATTCATATTTCAGGTTTTGTTTTTTAGTTATAAATGTTTGTTAGAGTTGTCAACCTTGGTTTCCAAGTCTGCTATCTTCAGGTTTTGATCACTAGTATAGCCATTCTTGTCCTGTGAGGGAACACAGGTGCAACCCACAGGGATGGAAACATAGCTCTCAGTGTAAGAATAGTGACCTCCTGAGCAGGAAGTTGTACGGCGCAAGATGACAAATGGCATGTAGATTGGCATACTCCGGTATAAGTGGCTTTCCTCCCCAAACGGATGAGTCAGGCAACCTTTACACAAGCAGTAGGCCTCAGGGATGAACCGGGGGTATCTCGTAGGATCATGCGATATCCTTTGCATAAACATAAATCCATTTTAATACAGGTCACACCATAAAATAGAAAATCATTGTCTGGCTGATTTTTTTTTTACAAATGAAATGTAGCAGATTACTGTAAAGAACATTATTCATTTAAATTGTGCTTATGCAATGCATTTTCCTGAGTAGTTTCATAAATTTAAATATTTCAAAATTTGACACCCTTGTATTCATATTTAAGTAGCATATCTTGCATTGCATATCTATGCTAATGGCATCCCCACATTCTGGAATGGAGTAGATACATTTTGACAACATGCAATAGTTTTCAAGTAACAAAATAAACACCTACCTGTAAGCCCATGGGGAAATGCTAACAACATTAATTGGGAGACTGAAATTTTTCCTTGGCATTAAGTGACCTGCTGATGGACAGGTTAAATTCTCTCTCTCTAGTGGAGAAAGTTGCAGCGTATGGTGGAATGCACTTAGGACACCAGCCGAAAGACGTCCAAACGTTTGTTCCAAGATTTCCTCTGGTAAATCAAAACACTGCCTGGTACGTGGTTGTTTCTTGGGTGACTTAGCAACAGAAGACATCTCACCCAACAGAAATATCATGAGCACAACCGGGATCATGCATAACATGATTGTGTTCTAAGGCAAAACGAAACGACACAGAATATAAAGTTACAAAGAACAACACCAGAAACAGTAAATTAAAATCATCAAAAACATCTGCACTTTCCCGTTCTCTTAGTTAAAATACAGTAGTATTAGAAGTACCTTAACATTCAGAAATAATATTTCAAACTATCTGGCAGTACATAGCGCAATTACCGAAGTTTCTTTACTTTCTATGTGATAACCTTTAAGTATAAAACACACTATTAACAGACTGAGAACTGAAGACGTTTAAAGTATAAGCAGACTATTTTCCGAGTTTCCTTCAGCAAAACTCTTTAATGGAAAGAACTCTAATGGAATGGAACTTGAAAATGTCGACATCAGCTGTGGATGTTCCGAGTTGTTTACGTTAACAAAGCTTGCCATTTTCAATAGCGTTCACAAAGTATGTTATATTTTAGGCTGACATCATTTTAATGTGAAATATCGAACGTCTGCAAGCGTACGTAGGCTTTTAATACGGGTTATCAGTGTAAACAATGTTAACTTCATCCTAATATAGCCTACTGTACATGTGCGTTAAGTAAAGCTAGCATAAATACTGAGCACAAAGCTGATGAAACTAAACGAAGTAACACAAGTCGTTAAAATAACTAAAGCTAAACAGCAAAATACGAAACAGGGACAAAAAAAACCTCTGTCTTACCAAATTTTAAATGCTTTAGACGAAGATTTTGTCCCTTGCTAACTTTCTTCTTGGCTGCAACCACAGGAAGACGGTAAAACAATCACTTCTTTCAACTCTGACTGTGACACCCAACATTAGACCTGTTACTTCATAACCGAAAATACTACAAGATAGCTTCCCGTTATTTTTTCGACTCCTGTCTTTTACTAGCTTGACGCTATCCGTCCATTAACACACACATACACACACACACACACACACGTAGGGTAAACATATCCTTATGGGGACCGCTCATTCACACACACACACACACACACACACATATACATACATTACTTAGAGAAAAGATACTTCATGTGTTACAAATAAAGACGATACATTTGTTATTGTTTAATACACAACACAAAGAGTATAATTTTTATATATACACTGCTAAAAAAAATTAAAGGAACGCTTATTAATCAGAGTATAGCATCAAGTAAACTAAACTTCTTGGATATTCATCTGGTCAGTTAAGTAGCAGATGGGGTTGTTAATCAGTTTCAGCTGCTTTGGTGTTAAGGAATTTAACAACAGTGGCCTGTACTACGAAGAGGGGTTACTGGCTTATCGGGGTAACTTGCTGGATTTAAGGTAGTCTGGGCAAAATGTAAGTGAGCGAATATGAAGTCCATTTAAACTGTGGTACCTTAAATCTGACAAGTTACCCCGATAAGCCAGTAACCCCGCTTCGTAGTACAGGCCACAGGTGTACTAGAGGGGCAACAATGAGACAACCCCCAAAACAGGAATGGTTTAACAGGTGGGGGCCACTGACATTTTTTCCGTCCTAATCTCTTCTGGCTGTTTTTTCACTAGTATTGCATTTGGCTACGGTCAGTGTCACTACTGGTAGCATGAGGCGATACCTGGACCCTACAGAGGTTGCAGAGGTAGTCCGACTCCTCCAGGATGGCGCATAGTGATGTGTCATTGCCAAAAGTTTTGCTGTGTCTCCCAGCACAGTCTGAAGGGCATGGAGGAGATTCCCTGAGACAGGCAGTTACTCTAGGAGAGATGGACAGGGCCATAGAAGGTCCTTAACCCATTAGCAGGATTGGTATCTGCTCCTTTGTGCAAGGAGGAACAGGATGAGCACTGCCAGAGCCCTACAAAATGACCTCCAGCAGGCCACTGGTGTGCATGTCTCTGACCAAACAATCAGAAACAGACTTCATGAGGGTGGCCTGAGGGCCCGACATCCTCTAGTGGACCCTGTGCTCACTGCCCGGCACCGTGGAGCTCGATTGGCATTTGCCATAGAATACCAGAATTGGCAGGTCTGTCACTGGCACCCTGTGCCTTTCACAGATGAGAGCAGGTTCACCCTGAGCACATGTGACAGAAGTGAAAAGGTCTGGAGAAGCTGCAGAGAACATTATGCTGCCTGTAACATTGCTGCCCGGCACCGTGGAGCTCGATTGGCATTTGCCATAGAATACCAGAATTGGCAGGTCTGTGACTGGCACCCTGTGCCTTTCACAGATGAGAGCAGGTTCACCCTGAGCACATGTGGCAGAAGTGAAAAGGTCTGGAGAAGCTGCAGAGAACATTATGCTGCCTGTAACATTGTTCAGCATGACCAGTTTGGTGGAGGGTCAGTGATGGTCTGGGGAGGCATATCCATGGAGGGACACACAGACCCCTACAGGCTAGACAACGGCACCTTGACTGCCATTAGGTATCAGGATGAAATCCTTGGACCCATTGTCAGACCCTATACTGGTGCAGTGGGTCCTGGGTTCCTCCTGGTGCACGACAATGCCCGGCCTCATGTGGCGAGAGTATGCAGGCAGTTCCTGGAACATGAAGGAATTGATACCATTGACGGGCCCCCATGTTTGCATGACCTAAATCCAATAGAACACCTCTGGGACATTATGTTTCGGTCCATCCGACGCCACCAGGTTGCACCTCAGACTGTCCAGGAGCTCAGTCATGCCCTGGTCCAGATCTGGGAGGAGATCCCCCAGGACACCATCCAAAATCTCATTAGGAGGGTGCCCTGACATTGTTAGGCATGCATACAAGCATGTGGGGGCCATACAAACTACTGAGTACGATTTTGAGTTGCTGCAATGAATTTTCAGCAAAAAGGACTAGCCTGCTGCATCATTTTTTCAGTTAGATTTTCGGGGTGTCTTTGAATTCAGCCCTCTGTAGGTTGATAATTTTCATTTCCATCAAATGATGTGGCATCTCTTTGTTTCTAACACATTACCCAGTCCATATCAGTATAGATATCTAGCATGACTTTTTTTCCCATTGAGATCTCATGTGTTTCCAAAGTGTTCCTTTAATTTTTTTGAGCAGTGTACTTTTTTTCCTCGACCAATTTTAAAAGTGTAGTTGACTTTTTACAATGAAACTTATTTGTTAAAATTGTAATTAATATGAACAAGCCACATTGTATTAAAATTTACTGAATCTTGGCTAGAGCAGTGTTTGCTAGAGTTACCATTGGATACTCTCCTCTGATTAGAAATCTAATGAAGGAGTTGCAGTGAAAAATTTACTGGATAAGATTGGCCACCCCTGACCTAGTCCCTCTAGCACTCTGCAGGTTCTTATCCAAGGCTACCTGGTTTAGGACACATTTTTTCTGCACACTCTACACCCAGAAAAGATTCCTAGATTCCCGCAAAGCATATAGGTGGCACAGGTATCTGGAAGAGCCCCAAACCGGCTGAACATACCCTGAACTAGTATATGGGTGCCCAACCTTCAGATGACCACAGACCCATTTTACGTTGTATAAAAATTTCACAGAACAATAAAACTTCTCAAAGATTGATCGGTGGGACAGATTGAATAAGTTTAATAAGTTTTACTGTTTCCATTTTTTTGTACAGGGGATCAAAACTTGCCATCATCAAGGGTCAGTCTGTCTTGGTAATATATAGTTTATGTTAGGAAATTACCCAGCCCTACAGCTTTCTGTGGCCCAAGGATTGGGAACCCCTGCACTACAGCATCTACTACAGCTTTATTCACACCACATGGACACTTCACGAACACCAGGGGGGTATTCCATGAAAGTAGCTAAAAAAAGGCAGACTTTCCCGAAAAAGTCAGACTCAACCTACCTCCATCTCTAAACTCGCCTCACGTCATTCTACGAACACAGTTCAGTTTTAATTAATCAAGGTTCATTCAAGACAGACTTGCATAGTCTCACTTAGTGCGCACACTTGCGATATTTAAGAAGCCCAAATAAATGGATGAACGATAGATCGACCAAATGAGTCGGAAAGCCTGTAAAACGAGAGCGGTGTTTCTTTCCGCCGCAGAATAAACGCTGTTGATGGAGCTGTATGAAAAATACAAAGATGTAATCGTTAAAAAAAAGGCAATACTGCGGCCATAAACACAGCCAGGGAGTTGGTTTGGCAATGAATTGCAGACAGAATAAATGCATAAGTTACGCAAATGTTACATGTGCTTAGTACAGTGGCATGGTGATACAATGGTTTATGCTGTTGCCTTATAATGCGAATTTGAATTAAACATTAAGAGTAAGAAAATAACCATTTTAACCAATGTAAACATTACATCAGTAAACTCAAAAAGTTAAGCAAATTTACACCAGTATCATTATTTGTCACGGATCGACCCCGGGGATCCCCGACTGACGTCACGAAGATCACGCCTCGAGGGATTCCTTGATTCTACCTTCCCCGTTTTTACGAGCTGTCAGCTCTACGCCGCTATATCGGGTTGTCCGGTTTCTCCGGTTCTCTTTGCATCCACCTACCACAAGCTGTTACAGATCATTTCTAGATTAGGGAGACTATTTTAGTTATCGGTTCTTGCACCCTGATGCGAGATCTTCAAGATTTACTCCTGAGTTCAAGCGTTTTCCTGGTTTTTGTCTCTCCGTGTGCTTTGACCGTTGTTCTGCCATTTTGACCCCGAGTTTCTGTCCAGCCCCTTTGATGCCCGACGTGAATTGCCTGACCTCCGCCTGTACCCCAACTACGAGACCTGCCCAGCCCCCAAGACCAACTATGTACATCGCCCGACCCCAGCCTGTCCCACGACTACGATCAAGCCTGCTCCTTCTGTTTATCCTGAGCGATACATCTGCCAGTAAAAACCTTCTGGTCTTCAGACAGTTTTTCGCTCATTTATTAAAGAGTCACCTGCACCTGATTCCGCGACAGCGTCCTCTTTGCCCCCTACCTAAACCGTCACATTATTAACAGTAAATAAAAAAATTATAATAATAAAATAACAGCACTTTGTAGACCATCGTGCAAACATAAAGCATGTTGTTGATAAGTCACATGTAGATGTTCTTTACAGGTTTCTTGAGAGGAAGGCCTGTCTACTGTTTCAGACTTTAGAGATGCTCTATGACAGGTTATAATGTTCCCACCTGCACTGAACACCCTCTCAGAAGGGGCACTGGTTGCGGGAATACAGAGGTATTTTTTTGCAAGTTTGCTGAGCCTGGGGAAGATTGCCTCATTAGCCTTCTACCAGTGAAGTGGGTCTGTGTCTGAATCTACATCAGGAGACATCAAATAGACTGTCAGCTCGGCTTTGACTTTGTCTTCTTCTGATTGAATGACAGGTTGTGATGCTGGTGCTGTTTTCTTAAAAAAGCTTGCCAAGGTCTTTTTCCTCTTGGCCCCAGTTTCTGTTCTCTGTTCTTCCTGCTCCAGGTCCTGAGTCATCTGAACTGTTGTCTCAAGATTTTTGTCTGGCAACAAAGATGTCAGCCCTTTAGCAACTTTTTGCTTGATTCCCTCCAACTTGTCATGTTCGATGTTGTACGGAATCTGGGATCCATCAGAGAAGCTACGCTGAGGAGTTCATTTGTGACAGGGTCGCTGTATTTGCAGTTGAGGTACTGCAGTATTGTGCTTTTGATGCATTTTGTTAAATCTGTGTCATCATCTTGTGCTCGTAGAATGCTACTGTTAAAGAGATGGAGCACAGGTTTGAGGTACGAGACACTCACATATGCTTCACCTGACAACGCATCAGTGTATTTATGTATTCCATGACATTGATGTCTTGCCACGTTGGAACAAGCTGCCAAGTTTTTTTATCAGAGCCAAGAACCTGAGCTATGGCTTTCTCCTGTTCTAAAACCCGCTCGATCATCTTTTGTTTTGAACCCCATCTGGTGGGGGTCTCCGTAATGAGTTGATGAGAAGGTAGGCCAAGCTCATTCTGTGCAGATGCAAGATCTCTTCTCTTTTTCCAGCTGAAGGAAAACACACTTACAACCTTCTTGCACACTGCAACTGCACGGTCAACTCTGTGGTCTATCACACCATGTTCTGTTAAAAC